ACCTTGCCATGACGGACAACATAAGTGTGAAGGTTAAAATACTTAGGCTTGTGTTGTATTATGATGAAGAAAGCTGTATCGACTACGTTAATTATGTGATTTATTCTGAATCAACAACCACACCGTTATCGACTCAGCAGAACTTAAAGTTACTGTTGAATATATCAAGAGAAAACTGATGGTGTCGAGTAAGCTTCAGGGAGATTCTGTTCGTTCTTAAATCAGTTCATTATTTTATTCCACCCGTTTATTCGTAATAAAAGTCTGTAGTTGAAATAAAATGCTAGACAAGAAGATTCTTTGTGTGGCCCGTCCCTAATTTAGCAATGTAAGACTAGGGAGGAAGGCAGCTAGTCATCACCACCCACCGCCAACTCTTGGGCTACTCTTTTACCAACGAATAGTGGGATTGACCGTCACATTATAACGCCCCCACGGCTGAAAGGGCGAGCATGTTTGGTGTGACGGGGATTCGAACCCGCGACCCTCAGATTGCGAGTCGAGCGCCCTAACCACCTGGCCATGCCGGGCCTTTGTCTGTCGATAAACCCAATAGTAACACTTAGAATTTGTCAAAATAAATGTGAAGTATTAAACCTATTGGTCACAGTGAATTTCTTGTATCATGTATGAGGATATATTTGTCTCTTGTGTTTCAATGTCTTAACATCAAAGCTACCCGTTTTTATTAAGAACAGCCTGTGCGGTTAGAGTTAATAAAGTCTTGGTTTCAGCTTATGGTCCTAGCGCAGATAGCCCTCGTGTAGCTTTGCGCGAAATTCAAAAGAAACAAAATCGACAGACAATTTCGGTTCCTTAAGGCTTGAGAATAATAAGTTATACGACGAATATTGAGGAACATGGTAAATCTCAAAATTAATTTACAATACGTACTTGTAACGAAAGCTGTTGCGTTCGAGTTTCATCACAAGGACTAGAGTAATGCTAGTAAATTAGAAGAGCATTAAAGAGATTTGGCTTGAATTAATTAAAGTCCCGTAATGCATGAAAATACGATATATTTACAAAAATTACAGACGACACATAAATATACCAATACTTTATTATGAAACTTAAATAATTATTTTTACATGTCACAAAATACTAGTGGACACCATATATATATATATATATATATATATATGTTTATGATGTATATATTCAAAAATGTGCACAATATTAACACATTGTCACCATTCATATGTAAATAGCACTATCAGTTACACTTCCGTGTGGAATAATAATGTTAATACAGACACGAGAACACAACGAACACTAAAACTCTATTTAATCACATTAAAATCTAAGATTTGTCTATAGAACACATGAATGATAGAGAATTACAAAGTGTCTTTCTATATACATATTTGTATGTACACTATGTAATTCTTTAATGTCGTTTTTATTTAATCTGTAGTTGTTCGGGGTAAGCATATTTTTATGTGATTCCCAAAAGGTCAAGAAAAGGGTTTCATACTTGTTGAGTTTACAACGGAAGAGGTTTTGCACCAAATGAGAAGAAACATACAGTATGAGTAAATACAAAAACTTTTCAACAAATACTCTATGTACAGTGAATCTTTCAGAAGTTTTATTTCCGATTAGACAATAGTCACTTTCAGTTGGATTTTTATCAAACGAGTGTATTAACTTACTCCTACTATTGCCTCTGTGATCAAGTTAGGAAATTAGTTTATCGTTTCTATCTTTAAGGAGCAAAATATTTTATATCTATGATATTATCATTAAAATTTATATAATCTATTTATTTTCAATTTTTATATGCAAATCCACTTAGTACAATAATATATACAAAATCGTTTCAACTGGTACAGTTACAGCGACAGACATACATTATCAAATTATTTGTTCTAGTTCTAGTTATTATTTTGTTATTGCTGAAAACTGACGTATTCTGGATTTAGAACCGTTGAATCCGTAATAAATCTGTGTGGGTGGGGTGGGGGTAGACAGGTGCTGCTTATTATTTCACATATATATACCACAATTTCGATAAATGTTATTTAATATTGAGGTACAACAGACAAAATTATCAATCAAAGACTGGTTAATGTTTCTTATTTTTTAGATAAGTCTTTCTAAGACACCCGCTTGGCTGATTTGGGGTAAAATTAGAACACTTATTTACCTTTTTAAATAACAATAAAAAATAAATTACGTTCAAGCAGAACATTTCATATATGTAAAATATGAACAAAACATGATATCAGACTAGCGCCGTTTCACATGTAAATGTCAAAAAAATAATAAAAAAAGAGGGGTGGTGGGTAACCGTATAAAACTTCATAAATGGTAAAATTAAAGAATTAGGACTGACTTCTACCTCCTGGAGGTCAAGTGGAAAAACAAAACAAAAACTTAAACCTTAGAGGTATGGATTATCATAAAAACTGTTTCGAACAGAAGCAAATTGACCCCAAGTGTATAAAATTTCATTTCGCATTTTTTATAAACATGTATCACATTTTTATACGGTTGACCTTTTACATCTTTCCTAACTTGACTCCTTTTTTATACTTGGATACGTAAACAAACAGAGAGAAATATATATATATATATATAACGTTGCAAAAAATACGATGTTATAAACTATTTGGAAGCCAATTAGAGACTTTCAAGGCTAAATAATGAGGCCAACACTATAGTAGAGAGAGTAACTTGTGTTCACACAGTTCCCAACTTCAGTTGAAAAAAACAACAGTATCTACGAACATAACAATAAAACAACGCATACATTTAAAATAATGGTAATTCTTAATACATTTATTATAACTCTTGGCAGTTTATTTACTCTCTTATATACAAGTAGTACAGGTCAAAGTCATTTACGGCGCTAGCAAGAATGTACTTCACCAAAGTGAGTTCGTTTTTTCATGGAATTGAAACACACTTTTCTGTCTTAGCCTTGAACTCTTTCTGTTTCTTAGGAGCAAATGTTTCATCAGTTAAAAATCTGAAGCATGGGATGTTGTAATATCTTATTTGCTACGCGAAACGGGCTTCCGTTGTAATTGATTGTGTAATGATTTAATAGTTGTGTTTTTGAACATTTATTGTGAAAGGTACGTCCGCGGTATATATTATACACGTGTGTGTGTGTGTGAATAAGTGACACTACCTTATATACAAGAGTAAAACACATTGAGCATTTAGTTAACAAACGGCGTATAAACTATATACGTCCGCGGTATATATTGTACACGTGTGTGTGTGTGTGAATAAGTAACACTACCTTATATACAAGAGTAAAACACATTGAACATGTAGTTAACATACGGCGTATAAAAATGTCTCAGAGTTATATACAAATTCACACTTCCTGAAAAAACAGGAAGCATTTGTCATTAATTCTAGTTACGGATAATACCATGCTTTTCTCTCCCATGATAGAAACATCGTCATATATTATATAGAGATATTTTTAGCGTTTTGTGCAGTTAATAAATTTTTCTGAAATATATTACCACCTACTTGAACTTCGAAAATCTTAAAGCTGTGAAATGAATTGAGCTCCTACATAGCTTTACTAAATATGTTTTATGGGATGCTTAAACTACTTTAGAAAACCTTCAAAGGAACTGAGAATTCTTGTGAGATTAAAGTAAAAGCAAAAATTTCCAGGAGATCATCTGACGATATTTTCAAATTTGTATGAGAGGATCCAGTTGGACAAAACTGGCGGTACGCGTTCCTGATTTAACCAATGTGTACAAAATTCATAACAAACATGCGTGGCCTACAAAGTTTTCTAATTTGAAAAAAAAAAAGTTGTCATATGCTTGGTTTCCTAGAAGATCGTATTAACGTAACACACTTTTTTTTATAATTTCCAAGAGTATCTTTCTCCTAATGAAACGCAATCTCTTTGAGGAATTAACAAGCCGATTAATCCGTCAGCAATTAACGTTCTTACAAACATCATAAAATAGAACTGATCTATGTACTGTAATAGGAAAAGAGAAGAAAAAAAATACGAGTGCTTACATCATCTGTAGCAGCATCCCTCTTCGAGTGTTCTTTAGTATAGCTACTTGAATTCACATATCGATGACTCCAAGCTCTCTCTCTCCTCATTTCCGATTCCCAGTTATAATATCGTAGAGAGAAGCTATTGCGAAAATACATAACACCGACGAAAACCTACATACAGCTCATCCAAACGAAAAAGAAATTGATGTCGACAAACATATTTATAAAAATTGATAGAAAGCTTCGAATTACGCTCGAACAAAACTAGTACATTACATGGTTATCCAACATAACGAAGTAAGTGTTTACCCAAGTGAACATACTATTCGGTGGTTTTATATGTTACTAAGGGAGTTTTATTAAATCACGCATAATAATGATACATTTTATGAAGGAAATGTATAGCATTCAAAGCATTTTATTTAAATACATAACGTCATAGTAATAGCTTAAATATTTTGAAAATTTTATGTGAAATAATACAACTATCTATCTTTTTAACTCTGTTTCCTACCTGTTTAATGTGTCATTGACAAGTAATATTTTGAAATTGTCCTCATTTGAATCGTTTAAAAATACTTGAGAACAATTCGCTTGTATATTTAAAAATTGAACAAAGTAAACAACAACAACAGCAAAAATACTGTTCTTTGTCTTTCATAGATTATGGCATTACTGTTTCTGAAACCAAATAAACATAACCTCTTGTAAGTAAAGTAGTATTCCATTATTTCTGTAATCTTAGTTTCATCAAAATTATTGATTAAAATGTTTATTTTTTATTATGAAGATGATTTGGTATTGTTAATTTAGTATGTGGAGTTAGGACTAGCTTTAATCTCCTAAGTTGGCCGAACCTTGTGAAATATTGTTGGATTTACGACATACAATACCACTAAAAGTGAGGACACCCAACAGATGAAACAATGCAGCCTTATTAGTATACGTTTTTGTTTCGTGACATTTCGTAGTCCTATTTAGACTGGTATGTTAAATTAGCTGCATTAAATACCGGTACGATTTTAATATTGATCTATTTATGTAGCTTGCTTTGATCAGAAGTTATTGATAAATGTGGTTTGAGTTGAATTATTTCTTTTCAGAATGAGATAATGCAAAGACGAGATAACTATGGTATTACAAGATCATTTTAAATTAACACCATCCCAATACAGGAAGTTGTGACTCTAAGAAATACTCAAAATAATCAGTTGTTTATGTTGTATTGGGCAGGCTAAAGATATATTTCTAGTTTTAATTTTGAAGCATTATTTTAAAGACTTGGTATGTGAGATACGGATATATATATATATATCAGCCGAGATAACAATCAATCCATTTAATTTTGTTATTGGATTGAAAATGATCTGCAAGAGAACATGATTTACAGGGAAGTTTGCATTCAATTCGAAAAATCGAAAAAACAAAAGAAAATGTTATTTGAGTGCACTTTATATGTGTTCTAAAACAACGAGAAATCGTTTGGTTCTCAGCAAGTTGTTTATTAGTTGGATATTGCACATTTTTTGGAGTCATTGAAAGCTGACACTAAATATTTAGATAATTTCTTATCACCCGGATTAATGTAAACGGTTCGAACGATGATGCGAAGTTTCAATGACTCTCAAAATAAAAAGTTTTGATTGTTTTTCAAATAAACAAGCTACTCAATTATTATTAGGACGAAGTAGTCACAAGAATGTAATATCCCAATTTAGAATAATTGGTTTAACCAGAAGTAATCAGCTTGGTCTACCCTGAAATGAGATGAAAGAATTCTCTTAAATATCTTTGATGGGATACAATATATCTTAGCCGATGACCTTTATAAATGAACTTATAAATAGCGAACAGTATTCTTAACTCTCAGTCTCAGATAATGACTCCTGTTCTTATTGCCTCACGGTGGCTCAGCGACAAGTCTGAAGGCTTCTAACGCTAAAAATATGGTTTCGATACCAGCAGTGGCCACAGCAAGGCTAGCCCATTATGTAGTTTTGTGATTCAAAACTAAATCAAAACAACCCATCCTTATTACCACGTAAGCATGGTGCCTTCTGTTCAGGTTGGACTTGTTTACTTCAAATAGAAACAAATAGGTTTGGATGATTTAAGCTGGAAAGGAGATACATGAGAAACGAAGAATTAACTTATTTGAAACATTTACGTCAGTCAGCGATGAGGGCGATATTTTTGAAACGTGCACGACTAACAACTGTATATTCGTTTATTTTTAGTTAAAGAACGCGTATATATATATATATATAGTTTTGTATGACCTAAAATTTCAATGAGGATCTCAACTAGTCCAACTACATTGTCAAATAATTTATTAAAATTTTGAAAAAAGTCACAACCATATTTTTCTATTTCAAGTTGACATGATTTTGTTTAAAGTTTTAAAAATTCTAGGTGATTCAAATTACTAAAACCATATTTCTGTATCTGTTTTTAAAGTAAAATCTAATTCGATACGTATAATGATCATTGTTAATTCCACTACACTCTGACATATTTCCGAGTGATTTTTGAAGTGTAATAAGTAAATAAATTCAGATTTTATACTCAAAGAGACATTTTATTTTTATGTTGTTGTTTGACTTTAGTATCAGGTATGATTTTTTTGTACTGCTTTTAACATCTAACAAAATGTATTTGATATAACTCTGCATGCAATCAGTTGAACGTTAGTATATTTATGCTTAGATTTGTAAATGACAATCGGGGTCATTTGTACATATATATGCTTACGCAAATATAATTGAGTTTGGATGTCTAGCATGCGAGTGATCGACTGTGTACTGTTGCTTTATATTGAAAACAGCACCAGATGCTACTGTAAGCACTGAGAAAAAAATCACCTTCATTATTTCGTGAAACTTATAATCTATGGCAGGAATCCCCAAATTTTCTCAACACAAGACTCCCCCCCCCAGAACATTTCGCGTCCTGATTAAGGCCCCACAACCAGTCTACAGATATTGAGTACCTTAATAATACTGTGTATTTGCTACGCCCCCCCCCCAACACTTGCCTGCGAATCCCCGGGGGTCCTCGGTCCCTAGTTTGGGAACCCCTGATCTATGATCTATAAATAATAGGAATAAGATACATATTGAATGGTGAAATTAAAACACTGTGTTAAAGAGCACAATACATAGCTTATACAATATGTTATATTTACCAAAACGACAATGACATTTATGATTATAACAAATATTTGGTTCTATGTCTTCAATCTTTGGTTGAAGCCCTGTCAACTACTTAAAAAAGTCATGATGTGATCGACGTCCTTATCAAACGTCATGTCTATTTACAGTGTGCTAATGCAAGTAGGCCATCTACCTACTGCATCTAGTTTGGCGTGTTTAGAATAATATAGAAGAGACACGTGTCCACGTCTCAAATAAAATAGAACTCTGTAGATAAAACTACGTGGTCAACGTCCATTCTGACAGTTTGATTTTTTTTTCTCACGACAACGCTTGGTCGACTCCTTTGTCCAATGAAACGCTCCGTATGTTTGTTACAATCGTATGATTTAGCGTGTTGTTGTCAGAAATAATAATAAAACATTAACTTAATTGTTTAGCTGATCTAAGAGTCACGTAAATCACATTGTCAGTTTCTATATGTCGACAAAGAAAGCGACGATTTCAGCAAACGCCGACACAGGTACTCTCATCGTGGTGGACGATGTCGGTCATCACTTCCATATATACTTGAAGTACAGGAATAACTTATTTTGGCTCTTTATTGGTATAAAGAAAAGAAATATGTACTGTACACTTAGCATCATCCGGTCACTAGCTTCTAGAGGACGTCTTCTATATATCAGAGGACACTATGTGGTAATGATCTTGCTGGCATGTTGATACCTATACGCCTTGCACTAATGTGTTGCACATGGCCCGGTTGTTACTGGTATCAGTCCCTTGTTGTATCCTCTTTGAATTATATATATATATATATTACACTTAACAATGCTACTACTGACTGTGTCACTTACATTCATGGATATCTACCTGTGTCCAACATTGTTCGCACTTGACGTAACAACACAAATAAAATTTGCAATGACACTGTTCCTCTTTTTTCACCGTATATGTCCTATAACCTCGTCCACAGCACATTGAGTCACAGCTGTCAGTATCATCGGAAGTAGCATTACACCTCCTGGCGACAACAAAATGAAACAATGCCATTATTATCCTGTTACAATAACATAAAATAATTTAATTACGTTAATAAATTACCTGATAACAAGCTAAATGAAAGAAGATGACGAAGAAACAGATAAAACACGTATGTTTTACGAGTGTGACTTAAAAGAATCAAATTAAACGACGATATGCAGAAGAACATTCTACATAATTGAATTACAGTCTATCTACAATAAGTCTGAAACCGTTATCTCACCTGCCTAACGTGCCAATCGAGCCGACCTTTGGATTTGGTAAGCAGTAATCAGGAGATTTTGTTATGTAAACAAGGTCATCTCTTTGATATAACCCCTGTTGGCTATTGACTTGAAGTAGTTTTGGCTGTTTCTTAATCCCGTGACTCATTACCTCAGTAGCCACATTGTACTTCTGCCTTAAATGTTCTCCAATAACTTGAAATCTTGGTAAACCTTTCCAACAGGTTTTGATGTTACAAGAGCCGGACACGCCGTGACATTTGCATTGGGTCACCAAACTGGCACGCAAAGACTGGAGGGAAAATACAATTACATATTTAGATATTTATCTAAACTATGGTAAATGTTTCAATATATATATTTTGGAAAAAAAAACATATAATTAAAAGTATTTATAGTAAATAATACATTCTGCAATACTAGAGTGCATACCGAAAAACATCCAAGTTTATTACAGAATAGTTAAGGATTTTAATGTGAACAGAAGACTTTTTACTTATTAAAGATGTACAGTGTGTTTACATCACACGAACATAAATTTGCTTATACATTGAATAATTAAATATATACACCTGAAAAAGTTAAGCACCCCCGTGTTTTTTTTAAGTGATTCAGATTCGACGTTCTTGTGACTGATTATAAATTACCATTCAATCTAAACGTGTTTATCAAATGAAATTATGCATTATTGGGCACAAGAAAA